ATAATTTAAAAAACACTTAGTCTTCCTTTCAAATCTATAGCTCATTTTGTGTAGGATTGGGGTACTAGTATCTCTTGCCTTGCATTTGATTCTTTTGTCTGGATATATTATGAGCCATTTAAGTGTTAAAAAGATTGATACTTATATAATGAGCAACTATGAACTCACCACTCAGCTTCAGTCATGTAACATCACCAATATTATTCTGTGATCACATCTGTCTCCCTCAGTCCCCAGAGGTAAGTGCAATTGTGAATTTGGTGTTTGTTTCTTTGGAGGTTTGGTTTTCATACTTACTTGATTTTTTTTGTTGTTGTTGAAATTACACAAGTAGTTGATGGTTTCCATTAATATACTTGAAATAACTCATCCAACAGAGTAAACTGCTCTTTAAATTTTTTTTTTTAACGTTTATTTATTTTTGAGACAGAGACAGAGCATGAGTGGGGGAGGGTCAGAGAGAGAGAGGGAGACACAGAATCTGAAACAGGCCCCAGGCTCTGCACTGTCAGCACAGAGCCCGACTCGGGGCTCGAACTCACGTACGGTGAGATCATGACCTGAGCCGAAGTTGGATGCTTAACCGGCTGAGCCACCCAGGCGCCTCCATGAGTAAACCACTCTTAACAACATAGGTGGTGTTTTTTTTTTTTTCCTTAAAAGGTATTGTGTGCACTGTTACATTTCTAGAGGTTGCTTCCCTCCACAAACACAAATCTACAGCTGCAGAAGGCATATACAAGGATAGGTATATTTTATTAGTTACGGTGAACATTTTGGAAATCTAAATATTCTACTCAGAAGTATAGAAATATGGAAGTATATCAAGGATATCTGTGGCTTGTTGGTTAAGAGAACAATTTAAAAATAGTCTAAATGTCTCACTAATTGGGGACAGATTAAATAAAAGTAGAGTTTTCATAGTAACTGGGGCAATTTAAAGGGAGTGATGTAGCGTACATGTACACATACCCCGTTGTGGGTGTTGGTTTGGGACATTTCCATCACATCTGCAGTGATTCTTGCTTTTTAGCACAAAATGCTAACTGGACTATTAGCACTGGACTATTCTAGTTATCTTCAGCAGATGAATGCTGCTATTTGTGACTTCCTGTGTCTTTAAATTGGGAGTTGAATATTTTCTGTCTGGTTGTTGTTGGAATGTTTTGTGTTTCATGGCACTATATGGATCATACTAAGGTCTTGTGACAATTTTAGTCGGTGGTGATTGCCAAAATGAGATTTCAGCCTTAATCCCTTGTCTGGAGATAATATGCATTACAGTAATTAAAAAAACCATTAATTTCAAAAGTGTTTCAAAACGGTTGCATATTCTAGCAAAGTCAGTAAGTCCGCCTTTCCATTCTGTTCTCTAGCATGCATACTAGGCACAGCAAACGTCAAAGAAGACAGTTTAGCTCTCACATCTGTTAGGGAGGTCAACAAGTGACCAAATTACTTGCATAGGATGGGACAAATGGGGAGGCAAAGAGGCGCGGATGTTAACAACTGGGGCTTTGGAGTCTATCCCCTAGGCTGGGATGTGTCATTGCTAAAAGTAACGAGAGCCGGGGTGCCTGGGTGGCTCAGTCGGTTGAATGACCGACTGCGGCTCAGGTCATGATTTCACGGTTTGTGAGTTCGAGCCCCGTGTCGGGCTCTGTGCTGACAGCTCGGAGCCTGGAGCCTGCTTCCGATTCTGGGTCTCCCTCTGTCTCTGCCCCTCCCCCTCTCATGCTCTGTCTCTGTCTCAGAAATAAATAAACATTAAAAAAAAAAATAAAAGTAACGAGAGCCAGTGGTTGACGCGCAGACTGAAATGAGGCTGCCTCTTTGAGTGGCCCATGGGAGTAACTGCTCTGGCACAGTTGCTGTAGCAGAGTATCATGGAAAACTTAAAAGGTGCTGAGTTTAGGAATGGTGAGGGCACAAAGGATGTTTTCCTAGAGAAGGTAATAGCTGAGGCTTTAAGAATTGGAGTGGTGTTTGTCACAAGCAGAGATTGGAGGTGAGCGATCCTAGGACTCATTCTGTACTCAGTGGTTCAGTAAGGCTGGGGCAGTGGAGGTGAGGGGGAGGGGGAGGAATGGTTAAGCATTGAGTCCTGAGAACTTGACAGGTGGAGGCCAGGTTTCATCCGGCATGCTGAGACGTGATGGTACCAGCATCAGGCCCAGGGTGGGTGAGGGGAGGTGGCCAGCGGACTCCTCACCCTCCAGGCCTCTCTAAGCACTCGGGGCTTTGGCTGTGTAAGTGCAACCTCCAGGTATGTTCCTAATTCCTCTTCTAAGTGAAAAGTGATTTCTTTATAAACTCCTTGTAAGGAAATTCTGGAGCTGCCTCTGGACCTTTAAAACTGTGAGCAGATGGTGGAGGCACAAGTAATAACGTTTCCAGCTACTGCCATGGATTGTATGGTTCTGACTCACTAATAATGAGCACTAGCTGGGAAGAACTTTGTGTTAGAAGGGAAATGTGAAATTGTGAAATTCTGAAAAGTCTAATGTTTGGATAAGGCCCCGACATTTATAGAGTGCTGCTGTCATAGGTGCCATTTGTCATAGCTGCCTCATGACCTTACAGAGGATGGCACAGGTTAAAAAGTGGCATAGGCTGAGATAGGCTCGAGGACTGAGACCCGAGCTGTGGATGCTGCAGCCTGCACTTTTTAACTATACTGTCCAGCCTTCCTCTTTGTTTTCTTTGCTTGGTGGACTGCCTTATGCTTGGTCACAGGTGGAGGATAAGTGACTTCAGATGCTTTAGTCAGCTGGATCAGTCCGCCTTTACTGTTCAGAGGGCTAAGGAGTTAGTATAATGAGGCCTTAGAAGTGTGAATCACCTGTTAACAGGGATGCCTAACTAGTTTTGGACATTGTATAACATGGAAAAGGTTTACTTTTTGAGTCTCTTAAGGTTTTGAACCCTTGTGGTCAAATAGAATATGGACATTAGAGCCAGACTTGGGGGTTGGGATCCTTGCCCATCTCAGTTTTCTCATCCCTCACGTGGGGATAAAAATTCCCAGTAGGGTGTTCTGGGAAATAAGCAAAATAATACATATAAAGTACTTAGAGTAAGGCCAGGCACCTATTAGATGATTAGGTAATTAATACATGGTTTTTCCCTTCTTTTCCCCTCCCCAGGCTAGGACACCTCCCCCCCGGCCCCCCAACTGACTGCATCCTCATCTTAACTCAAAGGTGCCTTTGCTGTAATGCACTTACTGTGGATCATGTGGGATTTTGGAGGGTCAGTCCCAGTTCCCAGTGTACTGCCCTGGTCATTGTGTGGACACATTTGTCAATTGATAGGCCCTAATTTCTAGTTGGGAAGATATAGTGGGTGTAAGTACGAAGCCTCCCTTCTTTAACCTTTTGGGCTTCATGCCACGTGCCCTTTATGTCCTGGTTGCTGAACTCAAGGCCCTTTGGGTTAAGTTACGGTTACTCTCGCTTCTGGGTTGCTGCTAGCCTCCCCTCCTATGCTTTAGCTCTAAGCAGAAGAGTTGAACTGGCCATCTTTTTCTGGAGTCCATCCAGTTGAGGGCTTTTCCTTTATTTATTTATTTTTATTTTTTAAAATATAATTTATTGTCAAATTGGATAACATGCAGTGTTTACAGTGTGCTCTTGGTTTTGGGGGTAGATTTCCATGGTTCATCGCTTGTATACAACACCCAGGGCTCATCCCATCAGGTGCCCTCCTCAATGCCCATCACCCATTTTTCCCTCTTCCCCACCCCCCATCAACCCTCAGTTTTTTCTCTGCATTTAAGAGTCTCTTATGGTTTGCCTCCCTCCCTCTCTGTAACTATTTTTTCCCTTCCCTTCCCCCATGGTCTTCTGTTAAGTTTCTCAAGATCTACATATGAGTGAAAACATATGATACCTGACTTTCTCTACCTGACTTATTTCACTTAGCGTAATACCCTCCAGTTCCATCCACGTTGCTGCAAATGGCCAGATTTCATTCTTTCTCATTGTAGGGCTTTCCCTTTAAAGTGGCTTCACTGCTACCAGTGTGCCCCTGAATTGCTTTTTTACTGTTCGAAAATGGGCAGGGTATGTAGCCTACTCGGCTTCCAGGATTGATACTCAGTCTTCCCACAGCCTCTGGTGTTTGTGTTTTGTAGCTTCTGCTGTCATCTGCCTACTTAGGTCCCTCCCTCCTGAGGGGTGTTTGGAATGAGGAAGGGGTGGCATGTGTGGTAGCCCATAGCAGTCTTTATTGGTTTATGCTTTCACATCAGACTCAGAGTGCTCTTTTTGTTTATTTTTTTTTCTGCTATCAGCTCTGGAACTCACTGCTGGAGATTCCCAGGCAGGACCTCTGGTTGGGGTTAGTGGGTGTGTTTTCAATACAACTCCCCAAATTTGCACCTATTGTTGATACCAGTGATTAGATAATTAATTGCATCCAGATTGCATTCTTACTCTTTGGGGAACTTCGCTTTGGTTTTGTTTTGTTCTGTGTTGATTTTTTCTTTGAGCGTGGGGAATATTTGTCTTGAGGACGGAAACACTGATACTGAACAAATAAGACTTAGTGGATCCTGACAGATTGACCTGGTTTCAAATTCTGCTTGTGTCATCTTGGGATACTTGCTTAATTATTTCTGGGTTTTAGTTTTTCCTTACCTGTCATTAAGGTTTCATTTTTCAGTTTTTCCTCATCTGAGTGAAGAAGAAAATAACATGCCCCTTTTGAGTTTAGTAAAAGAGCTAATCTATATAAATTAAGTGGTATATGGCATCATCTAAGCACTCAGGAAATGGTCGCTGCTAGGAATGTTTGGAACGATAATGACATTATTGGCAATATAAGAATGTAAAAGTGAATTTGAAGATTTTGATTTTGTATTACTAGAATTACTCTCTGCTGTCATTTTACCACTTTTTAAAAAAGATTTATGTGGAATTTTTAAAAAACAGATTTATGTGGCAGTTCTTATATCTTGTACTTTTTTTTTTTTTTTTTTTTTTTTTTTTTTAATTAAGCCACTCAGCATCTGAAGAGGCTTCGGGTTCAGACTCAGGCAGCCAGTCGGAGAGTGAGCAGGGCAGCGATCCAGGAAGTGGACATGGCAGTGAGTCAAATAGCAGTTCTGAATCTTCAGAGAGCCAGTCGGAATCTGAAAGTGAGTCGGCGGGTTCCAAATCCCAGCCAGTCCTTCCAGAAGCCAAAGAGAAGCCAGCCTCTAAGAAGGAACGGATAGCTGATGTGAAGAAGGTATCTGCTTTGCTATACAGTGAAAATGTGCTGCTGGCTAGGACCAGCAAGCAGAACTTTATTTCACATGGAAAACTCATTAGTATATTCGGATAATGAAAACTACCACCACCTTTTGTAATAATATACTGTCTGTGGATATAAAGATTGCTTTCTGTTCTACTCTTTGAATATAGTAGACACAGGGCCATAAGGGAAATAATTACACGAACCATCAAATTACAGGGCAAAAAGACAAATTTTTATAGTTTCGGTTTTTAACATTTAAAAAAGGTAATAGTACCGAACACTACAGAGTGAATTACTGACAGATTATGGAATGTAGTTGTGGAGCTTAGTTATGGGTAATAACAGTTCAAGAATAAGGGCAATTTTTCTTCTCTGAAGGATGGAAGGAAAATACTTCTCATAGGAAAAAAAGTTACTTGCATCTAGGCAATATAGATTTTGTTTGCTTAACGGAGGAGTCTTGTAGCAAAGAATGCAAAAAGGCAAAAATTGAAGTGCATAGTGTCTTCTCGATGCACAAACTGGGATGCGTTCCTTTTGGGGAAAAATTAATGACTTGGCCTAATTAGTCACAAGAGCACAGCTTATCTTTTAAAATTCCATTTTGAGACAGTTAGGTGTGAATCACTGAAAATGCAAAGGAATATTCTTTTAGAAACTTAAAAGATGTCCTAATGAAAGTTTTATGCTAAATCAGTTTTTATTACTCTTAAGACAGAAATCTTCGTCTGAGCACTCAGATTTTTGTAGTAGTATGAATAACTTTTTAAATTACCTGCAGGTTCTACAGAATAGCTTTTTTTTTTTTTTTTTTTTAATTTTTTTTTCAACGTTTTTTATTTATTTTTGGGACAGAGAGAGACAGAGCATGAACGGGGGAGGGGCAGAGAGAGAGGGAGACACAGAATCGGAAACAGGCTCCAGGCTCTGAGCCATCAGCCCAGAGCCTGACGCGGGGCTCGAACTCATGGACCGCGAGATCGTGACCTGGCTGAAGTCGGACGTTTAACCGACTGCGCCACCCAGGCGCCCCTCTACAGAATAGCTTTGATAGATGCTTCAACAGATGAAGCATCTGAAGCCGTTAGGGATAAGAAAATGAAAGCTGTCCTTGCTAATTCAGTCATCACCAGTGACTTAGACACTCAAGTATTGTACCTTGTCTACCTGCTCAGTGTCAGTGAACCTTTGACAAGTGGAAATGCAAAAACACCCTGCATGTAGATTACCACTGAGAGATTTTGCTCTGAGTATCACTAAACTCAGAAACTTACTCTCCAGGCTTGTAGCAGAAGGCTTTGCTTGGCAATCTTCAGAGGATAATGTCTGAGCCTGGTTTCCTCAACATCTAGACTGGGTATTCTTTTCAGAACACCACAACACACTTTTGAAGAAAGTATAATGGATAGAAAACGTCTGAATATAACTTTCTTCTGTGCAGTGAGGAATTCTTTACTTGAAAAGATAAAAGGAAAACCATGGAAACTGTGACTTACATAGTGTTTAAAACTTCACTGAAATCTAGTTGACCGGGATTCTCAGCTGTTAACTATAAGACCGTGTGTATGTGTATATATATATATAATTTTTTTTAACCTTATATAAGTAGATAAAAGGGAATTAAGAAAGGAGAAATTATTACTAAGACTGAATTTCAAAATACAAGTAAAGTTTCAGACAGAAATATTAAAATACATTTTAATTTAAGACTTTTTGAGGGAGAGTGTGTGTGCATGTGCAAGTTGGGTAGTGGGTAGAGGGAGGGGGGGAAGGTCTTGAGCAGGTTCTGTGTTCTGCGCAGAGCCTGATGCTGGGTTGCATTTCAGGATCTTGAGATCATGAGCTGAGTCAAAATAAAGAGTTGGACACTTACCTAAGTCACCCAGGTGCTCCTAAAATACACTTTCAAAGTTAAGGCAATAAATTCCAAAAAGTTAATAAGGTTAACAGGTGGATGGATGTACTAACTAGGTAGAATGATTGGATCGTGACTTTTTTTTTCAGTTTACTTATTTAGTTTTGAGAGAGAGAACAAGCAGGAGAGGGAGAGAGAGAGAGAATCCCAAGCAGGCTCTGTACTCTCAGTGCAGACCCTGATGGCAGGACTCACCTCCAAACCATGAGCTCATGACCTAAGCTGACCAGGCCACCCAGGCGTCCTGATCAGATTGTGACTTTAATGATGCTATTCTAAAATGAGAACTTCTGAGGAAGGTTCTTTGTTTTCTGTATATGGCGCAGTTTTTTTTTTTTTTTAATTGAAGACTTGAATTAGATATCATAGCCTTCAAAAGGACAAAGATGAGCTCAGGATGATTTTAGTGTGTGTGCATTACAGTATATCCTGTAATATAGTCTCAGCAGTTGAGCCTGAATGCCTAATATTTTAAAATGATAAAACTAACTGGTACAGTGACACTTAAATGATTTAGCTACCCCAGTTAATAAAAGCTCCTTAAATACCTGTGTTGAGTAATTTTGTACCTTTAGCAGAAGTCCAGAAAGGGGTAAGAGTTGGGGTTGGTCAGGGTCAGCAGGGCTAGAGTAAACTTTTTTGTCTCCTTCCTTTCTCTGCCAGATTTGTTCAGTATCCTGCTGCCTCTGTCACCCAGATTTCCTGCCAGTTGGTTATTCCTAACTCCTCCAGGTTGGACCTTTTGTCCTCCCGACTCTGAGATTATTCTAAGGCCATTACGGATTTGTCACCTTTATAAACTGGGAACACTGGGTTTCATGATTATGTTGGATTCTTGTTCTAAAGTGCCTTTTCCTGGAACATCTTGCTTGTTTTCTTTGGAGGCTTTGGTTTTATTCAGCCTACTTGGCACTTTGTTTTTTAAGGCACTGTTGATAATATCCTCCCTTGCCTTAGTGACATTCTGTCTTTTTGAATTGTCTTTCATCAGTTTTGTCTTTTTTGGGGTCCACTTTCTACATACTTCACGAGTCTCAGCCAGTGGCTTCTCCTGTGGCCTCACTTTCTAAATATTTTCATGACATTTGTTGTCACCTGTGTTTTGACAACAAGCCCACATTTCTAATCTTGGCTGTCAGGCATCTTTTCTACATGTTTAACTCCTATTAAACATCTTCATCTCAGTGTTCCACAATCCATCCAAATTCATTTTGCCGCTATGTGACTGATTTCATTAGAAAAACACATGGTATGCTTGCTGTGAGTTATCTTTGGGAAAGAGAGTGAGATTGGGGGATTAGACTGTTATCGTTAGAGGTTGGAAGGGTCTTTTACATTTTTTCTATAGATTTGTTGATTTGCATCTTTTAAATAAGATGTTGTTGATATATTGAGAAAAAAAATTTCTCTTCAACTAATCTCTCCTTTCAACTTCATTTATATATTTCTATTACCAGCGAGGATTGTAACTAAAAATCAAGTCCTAAAGGTTAAGGGTAATTACTGCTGGAGAGTACAGGGTCCAGAGACAGGGATCAGTGTACAGATGAGACAGTGGTTCTCATCTGAGAGCATCTAGCTAAGTGTTGGAAATGCCTAATTTGCGTATATCTGGCACGTTACACATTCCGAGGCAGTAGAGGAAATGTACAAATAGATGGTTGGAGCCCTGCTTGGTTTCTGATTTCCCAGATGGGTCAGTGTGTGGACATCGCTGATACTGGAAAGCATTAGGGACTTAAAATCATCAGTAAAGATTTTGTCTTTAGCAGGAGCCTTGCCATATTATTCAATTGTAAGTTTATATTTTCATGACGAGTATGTAGTGTGCCATGTAGTTTAAGAGCCATTCAGTAAAGAAGAGGCATTGTTAAGCTTCAGTGTGTTTCAGAATAATAAAGATGGTACTTTATTGTCTCGTAAACAAAACTGACACAAAACACCCTTTAGACATTTAGTTACTTGAATTTTCTTAAATTGAAATACATGTTCCAGTAATGAAAATAGTAAATCAAAAAGGATTCACTCATGGTCTATTAATTTTACAGATGTGGGAAGAATATCCTGATGTTTATGGGGTTAGGCGGTCAAACCGAAGCAGACAAGAACCATCACGATTTAATATTAAGGAGGAGGTAAGAAAAAGACATGTTTTAAGGGGATACATTTAAACTCCTTATCTTACCTCATCCTTTTTGACTCTGGTATATGCTACCATTGACATGACTGAACTTGTTGCCTTGGAGTTAAGTGACTCTAATGTGAGCTTTCTCACCTTAATATGGCAAGGAAAACCACAGGTGGCTTTTAAAGGAAGAAACTTACCAGGAAGATTGTGTCATAATGAATGTCTTAGTAGAGTATTGTACAGATTGGCTTCAAATTTTTGTTTTTATTTTATTTTTTTAAGGTTTCCAAGTTTCAAGTGAAATTGATTATCATAAGAAGTTTACCTTTTAAAATACCTAGTTTCTAAATCTACATTTTGTAAAATGAGTCATTGCTTGGTAAACAAATGTAATAGTGGAAGTTGTTTCAGATTTATTTCTGAGAAAGGAAGGAAAATTTGCTTAAATACTGCATTTTAACTAATTCAAATTTGCTTTCTGTTTTTAGTGTGCAGTATAAAATAATTCACACACATTTAGTCTGATCTAATTGTGAGAGATTGAGTAGCTTGTTTTTTAAAATTGGTAATTACTGGGTTCTATTGTTTCTATAGAATAGACTTTTCTCACCTTTCTCAGTTCATGTGGTATTTTTGTCAATTCTTACCTCTGTAGTAGGTGTATAGACCACATTCTGAAGAGGTGCTCTTTTGTGCCTCAGTGAGATGTCCCCTTTCTGTATTCTTTTTTTTTTTTTTTTTTTTAATTTTTTAACGTTTATTTATTTTTGAGAGAGAGCAACAGAGCATGAACGGGGAAGGGTCAGAGAGAGGGAGACACAGAATCCGAAACAGGGTCCAGGCTCCGAGCTGTCAGCACAGAGCCCGACGCGGGGCTCGAACTCACAGACCGAGAGATCATGACCTGAGCCGAAGTCGGCTGCTCAACCGACTGAGCCACCCAGGCGCCCCCCATTTCTGTATTCTTAAGAGGACTTTGCTTAACCAGCTGAGCCACCCAGGCACTCCCCCTCCCCCCTTTAAAAAAATTTTTTTTTTTAATGCTTATTTTTGAGAGAGAGAGAGAAGGACTTTGCTATTCTTAAGTATGTAGCATTCTTCTGATGAAAGTTAATAGTCAGAGGTTAGTGAGTTGGAGGTGGGTTTTGGTAAGCATATTTTAAAAATCTAATTGACTGTAACATCCACATTGCCTTTATGGTGTTTTATTTTGAATGACCTCTGAGCTGGTTTGCCCGAGTTTTCTTTTTCCACAGTGTCTAGGACAAGGTTGCTGAGCCATGTTTGTTACAACCGGTCACGTAGTTGTGTCCGTTCTTTCCTCTTTTATACGTCCATTAACACATTCTCTATAGGGCACAAGAGAGCAATAGAAATAGTTTCCCTAATTTTGGGGGAAAAGAGACATTTAAATGTTTCTGACTATAAACCTTCCTTGGTCTAGTGCTGTCAGCAGGGCACTGTTGGCTCATGATTGAACATGCTCTGTAATGAGTCTAAAATGGGACAAATCAGCAGTCACCACCTTTAATGACACACTAAATGTTGTGGCATTTCATATGATATTCTAGATCTGCAGTATCACGTTTGGTTGCCACTAACATGTAGCTTTTAAAGTTTTTAATTAAAGTAAAATAAAATGAAAGATTCTGTTCCTTAGCCGCACTAGCCATGTTTCAGAGGCTCAGTAGTCACATGTGGCTGCTGGCCACTAGATTGTTCCCTGCAGATACAGAACATTTCCATCATCACAGAGAATTTTATTGGACTGAGCCCTTGTAGAAGTCAAGCTGAGGGAGGGTTTCCCGGTGTTAGAGGTAACTCTGTCATTACAGACAAATTAATTTTCAAAGGAAAAGAAGAGTGAGCACGATCAAACACAGGTTTCTTTTGTCTGAAAGCTCACATTGGATAATGTTATTATTGAGTAGATTGTGGAAGCAGGGGATCGTGTTGTCCCTATGAACTGTGAATTAAAGTCTGTAATCATTTTTCCCCTCTCACACACTGAAGGCAAGTAGCGGGTCTGAGAGTGGGAGCCCAAAAAGAAGAGGCCAGAGGCAGCTGAAGAAACAGTAAGTCTTTCATGGGACAGTTACTTCCCCCAGGGGTTTTGAACATGTCAGCTTCTCTGGGGCTCCCTTCTCTGTGTGGTCGTCCGTCCCGGGTCCCGGAGTCTGCTGCTTCTCTTGCTGTCTTGGGTTGCAGTCCGTCACGACCCACTGATGCCGCAGCCCTCAAAGCTCAGGGTTGCATGTGTTCCCATGTGCTTGGACTACTTCTTAGGGCAAACCCCAGCTTGTTCCATTTGGTTAGCCTGATTAGCACAATTGTGTTTTTCTTAAAAATGTGCACCAGTTCTATTCTGGTTGAGCAAGGAACAAATTTAGATTTGCTCTTTTTTTCTTGTAATTTGTTCTTTGTGTGGGTGTGGCAACATTATATTTGTTGGACTGACACCCAATTTAGTATTAAATTTCAAAGTGTTATTACTGTATAATTTTAATACTGCAGTCTGCAAACCAGAAAATTTTAATTCTTGGGCTTAACATGACATTCCTTTAGAACGTAGACTATATATTCATTATTTTAAAAATTCACAAATTCTACTTAATTAAGGTGAAAAAAATTTGTTTCTGTTTTGGGTTTTTTTGGAATTAAAAAAATTACTTTTGGAGAGTGTCTGGATCTTTTTGACAGTCTAAATTCTATAGCCCACCTCTTGAGGAGCTTCATTTGAAAATGTAGCTATTGAAAACTTGGCAGACAAATTCAGGGGTTTCTCATGGTAAACGATTGTCCATGGTACCTATTAAAATAGAGCCCCAGTTATATGTATTTTCTGTTCTCAAATAGTAATTTTAGAATTAGTAATTAGTAATTACTAATTAGTAATTACTAATTTAGTAAGTATTTGGCCTAAGGCAAAGGAGCTTGAATTTTTTAAACCCATGTACTCATCTTCAAAATAGAGTAATACTCATTCTTCCAACCTAACAGGGTTATTGGGAACGGTGTTAGGAAAAGTTGAGTATTTAGTATGTCCTCTCCAGAGCACATACACTTTTCATTTGTGTTTGAAATATTTGTTAGAGTTGGAGGAAAAACTGTAGGCAAGCCTGCACTTCTTGGCATCTTAGAAGGCTTTTTTCTACCCCATTCCTTGGCCTGCGTGGGAAATTATTCTGATCTGATGGCCTTTTGGGGGCTTTCGGGAAGTCTGTGCATGTGTTCTTTCCTTTACCATCTGGCTATGTTCTTCTGGTCTCCTGACTGGGATCTAAATGGTGCTGTGCTTGAAAACCTCCAGTTTCTACTTCAATGGCGTCTGGGTGTGCAGAAGCGCACTGGCCCCTGTGCTCACTTTCCTTCTGTCAATCCTAGATGTCTCTAAAGTTGACCGTTTTTAGAGGCCTTCTTTCCCTGAGTAGAACCTCTTCGTTCCTTGCAGGGGGTTGTATCTTCTGTAAGTGCCCTTCCTTTCCCTGGCCTCTTCCCTAGGAACTTAGCCAGAGCTGGGGGAGTTCTCTTCCTGTTTATTTGGGCCCTGGGCTGGCCTCGCTTCCTGCTATCCTCTGGGCAGCAGGTGAGTACTGGGGCTTATAGGGAGCTCTTTTCCTGAGTCCGTTTAATTATAATTAGGAGGAGGAGGTGCAGTAGGTGCCGGCACTCCCGCTGCAAAGCCTCAGCACTAACGGCGGCCTGTGTGATGTGAGCAAGCATAACAGGACCTAGTGTGTGGGCATGTGGATTTCAGAATTGAGAGACTCAAAGGGGGCAGAGATTTTGAAGTATTAGCACAAGGAAAGGTTTTTCTGAAACGCTGCGCGCTGTACCACAGATTTTGAAGTTTTTAAAAAGCTATTTTTTTAAACTTTTTAAAAATTCAAAATTTAAAAATGTAAGAATAAAGCAGTAGTACAAAGACTGCCTGTGTATTTTGCCCAGATTTACCATTGGTTACCACTTTTGCCTCATTTGTTTTTGTTGTTGTGAGTGCTTTCTTTGTAAATATTTATGTATGCATGCATATAATGTTTTTTCTGAACCACTTAAGACTAAGATTGACACACATCATGGCCTTTTACCCCTAAATACGGAAGTGTGGATTTCCTAAGAATAAGGATACTCTGTTTCTTAAGCACAGGATAGTTTTTACTACAAATAGATTTAACATTGCTAACATAGTTTTGTCTAATCCATATCCCCATTTTGTTACTTGACCCAGGAATGTCTTTTATAACATTTCCCACCTCCACTGCAGGGTCCCATCTAGGATTAGATCCTGTATTAGTGGTCTTTCACAGCCCTTCTGTGCTCTTATGACGTTGGCATCTTTGAAGAATACAGTCTTACAAGGGAATAACTCCCCAGAGTCATAATGTAAGTTAGCATTTAAAAAATTTAGAAGCTATAGAGCATAATGTTTCTGCACGATATTGAGAACATTTTTCAAGTTGGCAGTGTTGAAAATTTGAGGGATGATGCTTAAGAATTCAGAGTTTTAGATTTTTTTTTTTTTGAGAAAATCTGTCAGTACTGGTCCTCATAACAAGTGGTCTTTGTAATCTTCAGATAGACTGGGAGTTCTCTGTTTTGACTCCATTTACAGTCCTTACCTGGCCCGAGTGGGTACTAGAGATTGTAACTCCTGACCTAGTCATGCTCACCAATAATTTTTCAAATTTTATTTGACCCACTCATGCTGTTTTGATTATTCAACCCTTTCCCATGCAGTACTTCTTAATATTGTCCAAATTTGTGAAATGTAGAGGAGCTGTGCTGGCTCATTATGGTACCATCAGTTTTTCAGCCCACTCTAGAATGGTTCCAGAACATCTTCTCCCAATTGGAATGAAAAAAAAATGTGTTAGCCGTAAATCACCTGGAAGTTTTTCTTCTGGGACCATAGTTATTTTTTTCTTTCCAGTTCTTTGAATTGTAACTGTCAGAAACTTGTGACACAGTGGAGAATTTGCCCCAGAGTTTTCTTTTTCATTGAAACTTGCTCCTGAAAGGCATTCTCTCTGGGAAAATGTACTGAAAATCAGTGAAGTTTAAGCAGTTCTTTCCCTCTTTTCATGCTCTGCCTTCTAAAGTGGAGGAGAAAGGAATCCTCTTCTCTGGGCTCTTAGAGATAGTTAGTAGGAAGCCTCAGTGACTCTTGGCCAGAATTTAGGCCCATTTTATTTACAAAGGAATTTTACAGTTATTTAGATTTGATTTCTGTCTTAGGGTTTGTGTTCTGCCAGCCACCTTTTTCCAATAAAGGAAGAAAACCATACTTTGTTAGCTTGCATTCTGACTTTTTCATATCTGTTTACATTGCCGTGGGGCCTCAGTGGCCAGACCTTGGTATTTTTATCCCTAGTCCCCAAAATTTTGGTAAAATTTCCATTGATTCTCTCCTACGGAATCCTGCCGATGCCCTCTTAGAGCTGGATCTGGCAATTCACATCTCCTATAACATATGAAAAAATTTTTAATCACAACCTTATGTTTTAGACAACTCCTCTTTGTAGCCTGACTTATACATATGGCTTAGTCAGGGAGTCATGCTCATAAAGTTTGCATTATATAGAAGAAGCCAGTGATCTAGGAGAGCCCTCTACATCTACAGAGTTGGGAAGTAATCGTTTTATAATGATCACTCTTTTCACCTTCCCTTTATACAAAGTGACTTAGTATTGCTGATCTAACTTTTCCCTCTGTTCTTGAAAGTTAAAACAAAATTTAAAATAATCCAGCCAGTTTCAGAACACACGCATACTAACTCATTTAGGCCTTCTAAGCCTTCTGTTGTTCAGATCCTCCCAGAATGTGTAAGTCTGACTTTTCCTGATTTTGTGGTCTTCAGTGGATTGTCACTGAGAGGAGGAGGGCTGTAGGTTTGACATGTAATGCCAAACACCTTGTTCTCACTGGGTTTTAGTTTCCTTCTTTAGGAAGAGGACTTTGGACCAGTTGATTTGCTCAGTTTTTGTGCATTCTCATACTAGAAGTTTCTGAATCTTCCTGGCTGTCCATAAGTCTGTAGACCTCCAATTTAACTGGAGGACTCTAGCCTCAACACTGATTCTGTCAGTTTACTGCCACCTTAGTTCCATAAAGTCATAGAAGTGGACCTCATTAAGTGCCCTGATTTAGATTCTTAATTCCTGTGGAGTTCCGTAAATTACAACTAATATTTGTGCATCTTTCTCATCTGATCTGCTCTCCCTCACATCTTAATTGTTCATGTTCTTTCAAGCTTGTTAACTGTGAAACCACTTCTCTCCAGTTTGACTATGTGTGTCCCTTCTGAGAGCCAAACTGTTCTCCCAAAGGAGACTGCAGTCTCATGTGCCAGTCTTCTAGTGCCTGGAGACATCTTCTTTCTTCCTTCCTGGCCGTCCCTGTCTATTCGTTTGGTTCCTTAGCAAACATTTGTTGTGCTAGGTTCTAGGGAGGGGGACTAACATGCCTAGAGTTTAGATATAAGGAATTCTTTGTTTAAAAAGGGACCTGCAAGGATATTATGCAATATTAATAGGCCTTAGTGTCTTAACAGTCTGTGTCCAAAAGAAAAGTACCCTACCTGTTTGTTAGGCTGATACGGTTCATTCTTTAATTATTTCTTTCCTCAACAAAGAAGTAGCTCCATTTGCTTGCCTTTGTGCTGAACTCTGGTACAAAAATGAAGTGGCCCTGCCTCCTAGAAGCAGTCACTTACTCTAAGGGAAACTGATATGAAACCAACAGTGCTAGTAGAACTTGAGTAATGTACATAAAAGTGCTGTACTGCCTTTTCATGCTTCCTAAAGTAGGGTGGTTCCTGGACTTTTTAGGAAGATTCTTAGGAATCTGTAGATAAGCCACCTTCTTTCAGTAAGCTCCTGCTATTCCTTTGACCTATTCTCCCATGAAGAGTATTGACTTGACTTTGATTCTGTGACAGTTGTCTTCAGCATAATCTTATTTCCTATGCATAGACCCAGAGGCACAGTGGTAGTTGTTTTATAAAACCTCAGATACTTGCCTGTGAGGTTGTTTTTTTTCCCTAGATATTTCATGCTCAGTGACTATTATGTGTTCTCTCCTTCTTCCCTAGAAATGAGCTAAGTCCCACGTTTGGTCTTTAAACCTCAAAAACTCTTTGGGGTGGTAGGAGAGAGCTATAAGGTACGGCTCTTTAAAGCCTTCAAAGATCTCAAGGAGCAAAGGAACACCTACTGTATCTAATAATTATTAAGAACTACATCTTTGGCTGAATAGATTATTTAGTAAGTGGTAGGTTTATCACTGAAAAATAATTTTAGGGACTTTTATCGAATATATTTTAAAGATGTTAGCATGTCTAGTATTATAGCAGTTTTAAAAGAAGTTTCTAACCAGTATTAGAATTTATAAAGATTCACATCATCTGTGAATTTGTTAAGATAAACATTTTTAGGCTTCATATTAGACCTGCTAAATCAGAAACTGTGGCACTCATCCAGAAATTTGTTTCAACAAGTTCTTCAGGTGGTTCTGATCATCTTACATTTGAGAACCACTGGTCTAGTATATATTACGACTTCAATCTGTTCAATGGTAGTGGTAAATAAAAATAGAGTAGAAGAGATTTAACAGCTTTTTTTTTCCAGAATAGTTTAAAAAATACTTTCTTCATTTCCATTTTCATTTATTTTTGTCACCAGAGAAAAAATAGGCATAGATATTACACAGTCTAGGAAGGAACATAGCCAGAGTTTAAATAGAGCTAGAATAAACCTTTTTTAGCCTAATACCTAAAATATACATGTTCTGCCTTTTGGAGAATCCTGTTGAAATTGGTTTTGTCAGATTCTTCAAGCTAAACAATCCTGAGGAGTTCATTTAGAAAAAAATCATTTTGCTTTGCTTTTGATCACAGAGAAAAATGGAAACGGGAGCCCTCAGAAGATGAACAGGAACAAGGCACCAGTGCAGAGAGCGAACCAGAGCAGAAAAAAGTGAAAGCCAGAAGACCTGTCCCCAGAAGGTGCAGTGTTTGCTTGAACATCTCTGCTTCTGGTGGAGCTTAGTTTGTGTTAGTTTGAGAAGGATGGTACAGTGGTAGAATGATGGCCTACGGTGTGCTGTGATTCGGGGCTTTGGAAGTCTCGGGCTCACTTCTTGCTAGGCTTCCTGGTTAGCAAGTGATTAGGTGATGAGGATGCTTACATTTGGCTGTGGGTGCTTGCATGGTGTGTCGTGTAGAGCGAAGCTTCTGTTTCTTACTCCCCGACTTACTAGTTACGAGGGGTGAACGTATCTTCTGCTTTTAAAAAAAGCTCCCTGTGTATTGGAGTAGTATGCAGGCTTTTTGGGGGAAGAACTAATTCCTAAGTTTAAAACACTGTTTGGTTGAAAGCATGCTTCACTGTTTCTTACCTTGTTCTTGGAATCTGACATTAAGCAGAGAATCTGATTGTGCAGGGAAAGAAGTAGGCCGAGGTCGCAGGGAACTTTGGTAATTAAAAAAAAAAAAATGTGTATTTGTTTTGAGAGGTGGGGCGATGGGCAGAGAAAGAGGGAGAGAGAGAATTCCAAGCAGGCTCCGTGCTGTCAGCACAGAGCCTGATGTGGGGCTTGATCTCACAAACCATGAGACCATGACCTGAGACAAAATCAAGAGTTGGATGCTTAAGTGATCTGAGCCACCCAGGTGCCCTGAAACTTTGGTAATTTCATTAGCTGGCTGGCAATGTAAGGTACTCATGTTGGGGGAAGGAGGGCAGGAGGCAGAGATCTCAGGGGAATTTTCCTCCTTGCAGTATTGCTTAGGATGGGGGTTGACAGGCTGTGGCCTTTGGGCCACATCCCACTCAATCACCTATTTCTGGATGGCCTGTGAGCTAGGTATAGCATTTAGAGATAAACATTTATAGTTTGATGATAGGCAACACTAAATTTGAACCTCAGTTCAGTGAAATGTTATCCCTTCAAAAAGAATTCAGTTCTTATCATTAGATGTGTATCCCATAAATCCTGTGATTATTATTTCATTTTGAGTTTTGTCAGTAAAAATTACGTGAAAATTTATTTTTTCTTGTTAAGTAAGTGCCCGCATAGTGGCCTCAATTTTGCGTCTTGTCTGGGAAAGCCAACAGTATTTGTGCTCTGGACTTTTGCAGCCAACATTTGCCTACCTCTGAGTTAGGACACTACACTGGCCCACCACGCTGGCAGGGAAATTTGTCAACTTAGTTTGGTCACAGGACTGGAAAGCCACTTCAGCTTTTTCTTCTGGAGTTTACCTGTCATTTATTGAATCCCTGATCATCTCTCTGTAGTGTTGCTTATGGAAGGTGTGAGAGAAACAGATAAGATTGTGAGTTTCCATCTGTCTCTTTCTCCTGTTTTCACCTTTTTACCACTGGTAGAGTATTTCGGGATTTCCTTACGGGAGTGCCTAGGCTGTAGTTCTCAGTCCTGGCTGTGTGTGAGTTCCCTTGGGTGGCCATCTCCTTAGTCTGTGTGGCAGGGTGTGGTTTCTCAGGTAGTCTTCCAGATATATTTTGTACATGTCACACACACAAATATGCGTGTAGTTATTTTTTGTCTTTTGCTCCTTTTATGCAGATAGCATTTCATGCATCTTGTTCTGCATTTAAAATATGTATATATATTTTTTAACATTTATTTATTATTGAGAGACAGAGAGACACAGAATGTGAGCAGGGGAGGGGTAGAGAGGGGGAGACACAGAATCTGAAGCAAGCTCCAGGGTCTGAGCTGTTAGCACAGAGCCCGATGCGGGGCTCGAACTCACAAACCGTGAGATCATGACCTGAGCCAAAGTTGGATGCTTAACTGACTGAGCCACCCAGGCACCCCTGCATTTTTCTTTAGTTATCTTGGAAATCTTTTCATATCAGTACATGGAAAAGTTTTTTGTTTTTTGTTTTTTTAATGCCTACCTAGTTATTCTGTTGAGTGAACTGATTCCAAGTTGATGAAGATTTAGAGTTTTCCTAGTCTTTTGTTAATTGCAAATAATACTACAGTGAATACCTTATTGTGCCTGTATCAGTGTATATCTGTAAGATCAACTCCCAGAAATGAAAAATGTTGACATTTTTAAGTTTGATAGATATTTCCAAGTTGTCTGCCAAAGAAGTACCATCAGTAACATGTTGCATGTATATTTTTATATCAACCCTGAGGAATAGTTGAGAACCATTGCCTCAGAATTCACTTGAATCTCCTATATGTGTTTGAGGATTATCAGTATTACAATTACTTTTGTGTTGAAAATGCAGATTTCTAGTTGATTAGAATCTTAGCAAATGGGACCCAGGAATATACATTTCTGACATTCCCCAGGTTAATCCTATATATGTATTGTGGCTCTGGGAAATTATAGATTTGAAATAGACACCAAGTGATAGAATAAAAACTTTGCCAATTTTTCTCTTCTCATTTTAGAACAGTGCCCAAACCTCGTGTTAAAAAGCAACCTAAGACTCAGCGTGGAAAGAGAAAAAGGCAAGATTCTTCTGATGACGATGATGAAGATGATGAAGCTCCTAAAAGGCAGACTCGTCGCAGAGCAGCTAAAAATGTTAGGTAGGTTGTGCCCCAGAAGTGTTTCATTAGTGTGAGGGTGATAGTTGGGTAGAACTTGGTTCAGGTGAGTCCACCATTTTGCATTTTTTTTCTTTAAGTTTATTTTGACACACAGAGAGAGAGAGAGAGTGCTCGTGTGCACACACTTGAGAGCATGAGTTGGTGGTGGCGGGGGAGGGGGCAGAGAGACAGAAGCCCAGGCAGGCTCTGTGCCGTAAGTGTGGAGCCCATTGTGGAGCTCATACCCACAAACTGAGATCATGGCCTGAGCCAAAACCAAGAGTCCGATGCTCAACTGACTGAGCCACCCAGGTGCCACCAGGATTTTGCAAAATTTTGGATTTTGATAGGCAAAAATAATGACCCGTGTCCTGAGGTTGTGTTTAGAAATCCGATCATTGTTCTTGCAAAAAAGAATGATGTTGGCCAGTGGGAATATGGAAGGAATAGCAGTGGTTCATTTCTGGCCTTCATTCCTGTAAAGAAAAGCACTTCAAGTTGATGTTCTATTGAGGTGGGTTAGTCAGTGATAACTGTCACACTTTTTAAGGAAAGATGTTTGGATTATATTCTCACTTCTAAATTGCTCTTTCAATCAGACAGATTCTTCTGAGGATCACTTTATGTACTGATATTTGGGTGTAATTTTATTAAGCTTACTAATAGGATATGGAGCATTAATAGAAAATGAAATAAAGGAACAGATACATGCAGACATCAGTATTTTACTTTATATGAGTCCAAGGATATTTCATTTTCTTTCAGAGGATACACAGGTTTCTTTTGGTCTACTGAGAGATAGTGAAACTAAGTCCTGGAGATATTAACCTGTCCAGTGTGTCTAGTTAATGATTCCAAAGCTTGGACAATGTGCTGAATATGCCAAAGTGTACATTTTCCTCCTGCAGCTCTTGTACATCCAGGATTGTGTTTTTCTCTTGTGTGACTCCCCGGTGAAAGGTTACATTGTGAAAGGTTACGTTTTGATATTTCATTACCAGGAAGTATGTTTGTTGAAGTTTTCAACAGTTTGAGGATACTTAAATTTCATATTCTTGTTATCAGACAAAATACGGGGTTGAAACATTTCATCTTAGAAATAGTGTTTCCTTTTTGCTTAATGAAACAGTAGCTGTTTTTTCATTCAGTATGTTTTCTTTGTAGTTTCCTTGTTTACATAGTAACCTCCTGTTGAAAAACAAAAGCATAGGCATGTCCTTGTAGTTTTCTCTATCTTGCTTACACAAATCCCTACAAACAGTAGTCTGTTTTTATTTTGAACTGTAAGCCTTCCTACAGTTCTCCATGAACATGCATTAGTACTTAAGTAGGAGAAAACAGGTACTTTGAGCCCACTTTATCTGTTGCTGATCTTAAAACAACATGCTGGAGCCAAAAGGATATGGTTCTTGAACGTCGTTGTATTTGGTCTTTAATTCTGGAAAGGTAGTCTCTCATTTATCCAGCACCATTTCTCACGCAGCTATAAGGAAGATGATGACTTTGAGACCGACTCTGACGACCTCATCGAAATGACTGGAGAAGGAGCCGATGAACAGCAGGACAACAGTGAAACTATTGAGAAGGTCTTAGACTCAAGGCTGGGAAAGAAAGGAGGTATGTCTCTGTGGGGAGCAAATTATGTCTTACCTACTCAGGCCCAAATCTTCTGTATTTCAGCTCTCAAATGAAGAATTTCAGTCCATGCTCACAGTGGTCGTGAAATGTGGAAGTTGTTCTGGCATAATGTCATGTTTCATTAGCAGAGGATGTAGGGATGTGTCCAATATGTCTTTGAGACTTGAAACTTAAGATGTGTTTATAGCTTAAAAAGCAGTGATGTCGCAGATATTCTGGTTTATAAACCTGAAACAAATTTACCTTTAATTAGGTGTTTCTGAATCTCCTGGGTGATAGGGAATTAAGATTTTTTTACATCTAACTTGAGGTGTCTTATAACTTAGTTTTTTTAACCTTTCCATATAGAAAATATCAAAATACTGCTTAATTCTTTTTTCTTTTTTGTTTCCATCCAGCCTCACTTTTGGTTAAGAGTTAACACAGAACTTTGGGTGGATGGGTAATTGGTGTGGGATGGTGGGGGGGGGGGTCTTTCTTTCTTTCTTCTTCTTCTTTTTTTTTTTTTAATGTTTATTCATTTTTGAGAGACAGAGACAGAATGCGAGCAGGGGAGGAACAGAGAGAGAGGGAGACACAGAATCCGATGTAGGCTCCAGGCTCTGAGCTGTCAGCACAGAGCCCGACATGGGGTTTGAACTCATGAGCCATGAGATCATGGCCTGAGTCAAAGTTGGACACTCAACTGACTGAGCCACCCAGGTGCCCCTATTTCTTAGTATTCTTGGAGAGACAGATTTGTTTTCTGAGTTAGTAGGGACCAAACCAGAAGGATGTTGCTCTTCCATTTCTCTTGTGTTTAGACACAAGGATTTGTTTGATTTCACCAACATATTTTGGAAAACATTTTAAAGTGTAGAAATTGGGTTTGCGTTTTGACAATATTTGAAATTATGAATCTTGTTCATCCTGTATTGTTTGTGAATTTCTGCTTATTTTTCAGTCAACAGGATTTTGATGCTTCATCCAAAAAAAGATTCTTTAGCTGAATGTGTACTCAGGAAGCCTTTTCAAGGTCTGATTTAATATACTTTTAAATGTTTACCTGAATCCTTTTGCAGCTACGGGAGCTTCTACTACTGTATATGCGATTGAAGCTAATGGAGACCCAAGTGGCGACTTTGACACTGAAAAGGATGAGGGTGAAGTCCAGTACCTCATCAAGTGGAAGGGTTGGTCTTACATCCACAGCACATGGGAGAGTGAAGAATCCTTACAACAGCAGAAAGTGAAAGGTCTAAAAAAATTAGAGAACTTCAAGAAGAAAGAGGATGAAATCAAGCAATGGTACATTTTTCAAGCAATGGTATATTTGCAGCCTTGAGGGAAGAAAGGTTTTTAAAGAATGTGTGGAGCACATAGCTGTCTAGGAACTCAGATTTTGCCTTAATTATCTGAACACAGAGCTGGTCACAATTCCATTTTATAAAATTGTGACCTGAAGACACCATATATATATATATATATAT